CGCGTTCAGATGGATTTAATCACACTTTGCTCAATTCAAACCGAATGGTCCCAACTTAGTATTGAAGAGCGCATTTCATTCTATAAGAAAATCTTCATAGTGGCCACCTACGTGGACGGCATCAGAAAAATTTGCCCCGGAAACATGGTGCACTGGTCGAGCTCAATGGGGTCTTCGAAGGATCGTGTACCATAACGACCTTTACTGAAAAGCTAGTTTCGAGGGGGTTTAGTGGGAGCTAATGTCCTCTAGAAACTATCCAACATTGAATCGATTCACGAAATTATGTAAGAGCTTCAGGCTGAAGCAGTTACGGTAGGCCTCCTTGAGCTTGACGACGGTGACAGATGACGTCATATTCTGAAGACGGTGAGGGCAGTGAAGGAGGGCCTGCGTTACTTATAGAGGGACATTTAGGGAATATTTGCTGAGGAACTTCCGTCAACGACGGCAATCTCTGCGAAGAAAAAAGGCCGAAGTGCGACATGGGCAAAATGTCTTTTTTTTTGCCCCCCCCCCCTGTATATCAGTGTGTGGGGGCGGTGCTGCGAAGCCAGTTCTTCTTCAGGAGGACTTGATGTCTTTACAGCTTTGAGGGCTGATCTCCTTACATAAACCTGGTCGATTTCCTTTCGTTCCCCTCCACTGCTGTGGGCCAGATTCTGGCTCATTTTTCGAAAAATGTGCTGCATACCGTTAGGATGTGGATTGTGGCCAAGTAAGAAGCCCACTGTTCCTTGACGTTCCTCACTTCTCTCCTCCTACCTACACATGTGTCCCGTCTGCATATCTCTCCTATCTCCGTGACGTGGCCATTCAGATTAGGTAATGGTGAATAATAATCATTTTCTGAAATTGACCGGTCGCCTCGCCAAGGCTCAGAGTCGTCCTTCCCAAGTTCGGATTAAGGGGTTGCAATAGATGCCGCTCACAGCACTGCCTAGTATCAGGCTATCTTGCCTTATATCCATGATGCAATCGCTGGTCCTGTGGGCACAAGCGTAATTTTTGAGAGACTCCGCTACCGCTATGGTCACGCTATTCCACCTTTCTTCTTCAGTGTAGTAGAGTTCTTCTATTCGAATTGCCCTAGCCTCAGCCTACATATGAAGACAATAGAACAGGATTCCTTGTGCGCCTTCAGATCAGCAACGTCGCGACTTGCCTGTTGCATGATACTAAACCTAGCAGCAATTTGTAAGAACCCAAATGAAATGATTCCTTTAAGGCGTTCTTCTCGGTCAGCAATAAGCTTGCTGATTTTGGAAACTACCCGTGAGGGGTTGGAATCAGGAAGTTATTAAAGGAGGAATTCACGATTAGAATGAAGGTCGAAGAAAGGGAAACTGACCTAGTTGAGGGACCCACGGACCTCCTGAGGGTGCGAACTGACGCGCAATTCGCATGGAAAAATTTGACCTCGGCGACCTATCATGCCTCAAAGCTGGCGGGTCCGGCGATCTCCGCCCACCGATCATCTGGGACGGTAGTAAAGTAGGCAAACTTGCACGTTAACGGGCTTCTCAAACCCGTTTGTAACGTGCAGGTGCAAGTTTTCCCGATTACATGGTATATTGCGTCGATTTCCAAGTGAGTTGCACGTCCCAGGCCTCGTAACACGCAGCTGTGAAACGCGGAAGGCAGGCTCGCCGACAGATAACGGGACGCGCAGGGGCGAAATAGTATGTGTTTGGAGAGACGCAGGTGACGAAAGTAACGCGCAGGCAAAAAGTCCTCCGGAGGAGGACTTTTTGGGGTTGGCGAACTTCAAACTTGGATGATGGGTAAAGTCGATTGCGAAATAGCGTGGACGAGGGGAAGCAATTAAGGGAGAGAGCACAGTTTTGGAGAGGTTGGAGACGGCGAGAAGGGTGTGGCTGAGTGTGGCAGGCGGGAAATTTACAACCCTTCGGGGGATTACAGCAGGTATCGCAAGCTATAGGCGTCGTCGATATCGAAGTGTCACTTGCGCGGATATTTCATTTTGAGGCCGTAACACTTCCGCCGCTGCTTTCTTCTTCATTAAATTCTACTAGTATTCGCATCTATCTGCTTCCTTTTTGGAGGTAAGTGAGTTTTTGTAATGATACGCGATTTTTGCATGCATTTCACAGGATTTGATCACCATCCTTGCAGTTCTTGTATTGTTTCAGGCTTTTTGTGAGTTTTTATTGAAGTTATTTTGTTTGTTCTCCAATGTTGTATCTCGCATTTATAGCATGATTTCTTGATTGGTCCCTGTTCGTCTAGAGACCGCTCTCTGCCAATGTTATGAAGCTTGCTCTCACTTCTTTTGGATGCTTTTCATGATTTTACCGGTTTTGTGCAGTTCCCTATTTATTTTTTGTTTATTTATTTTTTCTTCAGACTAGCTCTTCATGATGTTGTCCTCGATGTGTTTCCATTAATGTCGGAAACACTCCTGGACACCGGTTTGAAGAGTAAAGTCGTTTTTTGCATGCTTTTATTTTGTGCATGTTGTAGTCTCCGTGATTTGTCTGGCTTAGATGGTGAGTGATTTAAACCTTCTGACTTATTTTCGCATTTTTTACAATTATGTATTTTGTATGAGCGCCTCCAAGTAAACACTCAGGACCTCGATATTAGCTTCATTTCAGTATGAGTATTGGAAGTTTTTTTTGTGAAGACGCGTGGCTGTTATTTCGCACATCAGCTGCCACAAACTGCAATATTATCAGGTTTCTAGAGAGTGCTCTTCCCTGCTGTGGTTGAGGGCTCCATGGCGCACTGCCATGCCTCTACGCCATCGCTGGCAAGGTAGGCGGATCGATACCGGACAAAGTCGGGTTTTTGCAAACAGCGTGGGCCGTCCCACTGTTATAGGCAACCCTTCATATGTGGCTAGTATTACTCTGTGGTGCAGCGGCAACCATAGCAAATCACGCACGCACGGCGCTGGTACGGGTTCGTGGAGAAAGGATGTTTTGCTTGCGATGTCGTGAAGCTGCGTGTTTCAGAGCTAGTTAACTTCCAACTTCAACAACGTTCCTTGCCGGTTACGGGCATAGGATGGCTTTCCTTAACAGCTAGTTTGGGGTAGATTACTACCGTCCCTGATACCAAAAACAATTTCTTGCACCATCGAGTCCATCCGAAAATCACTACCCTCTACAAATCTCCCCTGTGCAAAAATCGTGCGCGAAATTGTGGAATATTCTACGTAGATAAGATGTTGAGCGATAAGAGAAATATATTAAGGAACTATGTATATGGCAATTAAACGGAATACATGAGTGCGCCAAGGATCTGTAAAATCAAATTACACTTGAAGCGATTACGATGTGATAATAGAAGTCACTTCCTGGAAGTGGTGCTTGGAAATGGAGCATACCTTTCCCACAAGGAGAGGTATATCAAATTGGAAGATGACTATGACGCTTGTTACCACGTGAATGGCGAGTTGAGTACAATCCGCAAGACCTATTGCAAAAAGAACACGATAGGCTGTGACTCTGCGGAAATCGCTGCTCCGGAGAACCTGAAAAGTTTGGCCTTATTTCCTTGTGATTGAAGTTGCACTGAGAACAAGCGGCTTTTGTGCCGTTACACATCGTGCCAAGCAAAAATACCACTGACTGGAAATCTTTCTGTTTGTTTCCTATTTTTTGAAGGCTATGCTCGCATCGGCGTCACTGGTGTAGAGGCAGTGGATCATAATCTTACTATATTCCCAGTTTACTGGCAAGTGCCTTCAGACTCTCTGTCAAGTCTGTGTATACATAGGTTGCGATGACAAAAATGGAGTTGGAGGGAGTCATTCTATTCTGTTTCCACTCTACTGATAAGGATAGGTATCAGGGCGTTGATAACGTTAGGGAAGAGAGCTTCATCACTTTCATTCAATTACAAAGACTTTTTGATAAGATCCGGCTGAATCATTCTAGAATGGCGCGGAGAAGCAATCCTAGGCTTAGAGCCGGGTATTTTTGCCTAGGTCTAGGAGAGCGAGGGTTCGATGGGTTGGTCACTAAAATTGCGCAAAAAAATTGGACTAAATGTCGGTGATGTTGGACACTTCACCGGTTTCTATCTGCTGCTTTGAATGATGAAATGGATTGAATGTCTATTATCAAAATTCTTAGGCGTACGCTAGAGCCATCCTTAGCCTTATCCTATCCTTATCGTTGGAGCCACCGAGCAGAATGGAGTGACGCTCTCCAACTCTATTTTCACTAGTTATAACATTAAGTGTTGCTCAATGTCCGAAGTTTGAATAAGTTATGGTTGTCTTAGATTGAGCTGGAGCTACGTGCAAGTTGTAAAAGTGCATGCTGGTGCAGGAAAAATACCAAAAGCATCCCTGGATATTCGAGATTGTATCACTGGCCAAAATCTTGGCCACGCTCCATTTCCTGTCTATACGCCTTCTGATCGAGCTGGTCGAAAAGCCTAGGACTTCGTGCTCAAATCTCACGGTAATCTCATGATCAGCAGATCGATCCCCTAAAAATTGGGAGGGGTGTTTTCTTGCGTCGATTGTGGTCGTATAGGTGCTCGGATTCATGAAGTAGAGTGTCTTGAAGTAACTTCGCTTTTCCCTACTTTGAAGCGTCACCTGATAGTAGGTTCCTTCCTTCCATGTGATGAACAGTTCATCTTTCCTTGTGTGTGAAGTAGAGATGCATTAGTTTGTACAAGAGGGCTACAAATGCACATTGCCTTGAGAAAGGCTCATGCGATAGGCGTTCATTCTTGCTTTGAAAGTGAAGTTCGCCTTTGATTATCTCTAGTTAAGATATGTCAAATTTAGTAACTTTTAGAGAATGACTGACTCGTTGCCACTCACCGTTATGCATACATGTAAGTGCAGATAAAGAGCTGATCGCGAATCTTAAAGGCAGTGATTACGATAGGTTCAAGAAGGGTTTATAGGAGACTGGTGGTGCTCAATGGTACGCCAGTGGCGAAAAAAGCGAAATCCGTCAAGAAAACGCAAAACGGGACCCCCTTTTTTGGCCGTTGGTTTTCACTCGCGAACAGGAACAGCTCAGAAAGGTCAGGTAACAGCTCGCATTGCGATGCGAGTTCATCGCAATGCGTTTGTGGCACCATGCCAAACCACGCTCCAATCGAGTTGCTCCAGTTGTGCCGCTGCTGGCAACGCAGCTCGTCCAAATCACCAACTAAACTAGTGGGCGGATCGCTTTTGGGGGCGGAGTGCTTTCGAAGTCCTGCTCAGCAACCAGCGCACCTTTCGTCGTGAAAGCGCTACACCTCGCTTCCTGGCAGCCAAGTAACTGATTCGTGTGGTGCATATGCTTCCCCGATGCGCTCCCTCTTTATCGTAATCGCTCCCTTTAAGAGTGATCTGCTGTGACTTGAAAACAGCCTTATGCACAGTTACCCAATAACCTGGCCATCATGGAAACTTGGGACTATGTGGTTGTGTGGGTTTTCGTACTCAATACCTGAAATTCTTTACGGGAAGGACAGACTAGTTCCAACACCAAACCCTCAAGCTCCAAACCGACTTCGCCTCCCATCCATCACAAGCACTGTTTGGTGGAGTGTTTCTTTTTTTTTCTAGCCACCCCTGTACATGCCTGTGTGTCTGTCCGCTTGTCCGTCTCTTCGTTTGTCACGAAATTCAAACCACCTGCAGAGTTCGGATCAAGTTTGGAATTGGTGGAGCATGGCTTGAGAAGTACAAAACACATGTCAGCTGGGCAAAACTCTGATCACAGTGGGCGGGGCACGCGCCGAACTGGGCGTGCCGACGGCAAGTTTCGATTTGCGGTAATAGAAAGCCCATAGCAGAAAAAAAGTATGGGTAAGGTATGCAAGGATCTGCACGCTAAGTTGAATTTAGGGAGACAAAACCCGAAGGTGAGCGAGCGCTTCCACTAAAGAATCGGTGGCGCACAATAAAAAGCTCACATTTCGATTGAAAGAAAGCTCATAACTCGAAGAATTGGTTCGGGAGAGCACTGTCTAAGTGTCTACAGCATTCCCTAAGCCTCCCCACAGTGAATTGAACACTCTCAATCTAAGTGGACAACGGGCAACAGTCAACGGAAACAAGGCAGGGTCAGCGTTAGGCAATCAGTTGGGGTGCCATATATTAGTGTTAATCGGGCAAAAGTACATTACAAAGAGTGAAAGTTTGGCCCGCGCGACATTCCATTGAATGGTTTAAGGAAATATGAGAGGCAAGAAAAGAGTGGAATCAGAGCTGCAGCGAAACATTAGTAATCAAGATGTCCAAATGCGGAAAAGGAGAATAAGTAGGGTGAAGGGAAAAACTTGGTGCGGAAGAAAGGGGTCCTACTAGTCGCCACACAATCCAAGACACAGGTGCCTACAAAAAGTGTTGAACACCCTTTTTGTAGCTGATCCGCTCAACACGCGAAGAGAGGTTCAACAATTCGGGGATTCGTTCTGGACTGGTCAACTGAACCAGTGTACTGCTGCTCGATAGCTAGACGAAAGTTCAAAGACGTGGGGTAGGTGCAAAGAAGGATGAAGGAATATATGTGTTCTCGAGCGAGGAATGGTCCGCTAGTATACCCTAGCAGGTGCAGGAATGGAAGAAATCCGGAGCTACCATACCGGGGTAGCTATAAATTGTGATTATGGGTTAAAAAGAAAATAGGCAGAGTCAGAAAAGTAGTGGGTCTGCGAAGATATAAGATGGGGACATAGTATAGTTAGTATGTTGCTGTCATGTTTTCAGCTGTCATCCCAGGATGATAGTCCAACCCGAACCGGCTCCGCCACAAGTGACGTTTTCTCGTGACTTCAACCGGCGCCAACTGTTTTGTCCGCAGGGACTTTTCATGCATTAACTACTCATTCAATAATGTAGGACATGATTTGAGTGTATCAACTGGCCCGGCTCGAGAGTGTTGAGTACTTCTCAGGCTGTGGTGTCCAATTACAGATCTCGGGCATGTTTATGATAATTCACTTATTTGTCTGCTGACTGTGATTGTTTTGCTTTGATTGCATTGTAACTACTGAAGCATAGTTTTGCCAATCCTCGTGGAGTGTAGTGGATTTATCATGACTTTGCAAAACAATCGCTGCGTTTCAGCTGGACTGTAGGTGATTCAAAAAATTACGGAAGTGCTCCTTATAAACCGCCTCATAACCTTCCACATAATTGGGCCAGGAACGTATGTGCGTTGATCAAGCAATGACTTGTTGGGTCCAAGTAAAACATGCGTGAAGTGGAAATGATGCGAGAGGCAAATTCCACACAGGGTCAACCGTCCGTTGGACAAAGTCCAACGAGGGGTGGGGGGTCGTATTTGGGGTGGAAAAAAGGGGGGTCGTATTTCGCGAGGTAGCGTTAATGTTACAGTAAGGGAAGTGATGATGCAGTTGGTTGGCGCGCTAAAATTTTGCCGTTTCACGGTGTGTATATCCCCGCTCGACGGTAATTTTGGAGGAAAAAAGTGGGCGGAGTTTGGGCTGTGTCGACTGGTCTCAGAATCGAATACTATAGAATGAGCCCCATGATGGCGATGGCAGGCGAGGGTGGTGAAGGGTTGACCCTGAGGGGGGGGGGTCGTATCGAGGCCCTCTAGAAGGGGGGGGGGTCGTAAAATTTTCGAAATCGGTCCAACGTGACGGTTGACCCTGATTCCACATTCCATTTTGCACAGGCGTCTATGTAATGGTCGCTTCTTTTAAGTTAAATTCGCCAATATGCATACAAGGTGATAGGACATTCACTGACTATGAGGCAAGTCTCTGAGAAAAGACCATCAGGAAAGTTTTTACTGGGGCTCGTTCCTTCATGGCGAGATACTGCTGTCGTTTGACATTTTTACAGATTATAAGGATTTCTTCCGCAGCAAATTTTCTTTCCGAAAACAACTTAATT